TGGTGGCAGAGGGACAGGCTGGGCAGCTCCTTTCAGGGAAGGGAGGGTCACAGAATGGGATTTTCCTTACGTGGCTTTGCCTGTTTCCTGCTCAGATCCCGGACATCGATCCCAACGCGAAGCTGCTGCAGCCTCCCGCTCCTGTCATGCCTTTGGACACCAACTGGCCACTGCTGACTGTCTCCAAGGGCTTCTTTGAGGGAACAATTGCCAGCAAAGGTATGGCCTTGTCCCTGGAAAGCTTGGAAAGCTCGAGGGTGGGGGGACCTTCTGGCTCTCTGCAACTCCCTGAGAGGTGGGGGAGTCCCCACCCCTGGAGGTGTCCAGGGAAGGCCTGGCCGTGGCACTGAGCGCTCTGGGCTGGGAGAGGGGACAAGGTAGGGATGGGACACAGGCTGGACTGGATGATCCTGGATGATCTTTTCCCACCCAGATGATTCTGGGATCGTGCGAAACCTTTGACCTTTAAGCACAAGATGGGGCTGGACCATTGGAGGGCAGGGAATTCCTCCTGGAATTCTTTGCCTAGCACTTGAGGGATGAGTCCATGGAGGCTCCTGCTCTTTATTTTTAGGCAAAGGAGGTGCCCTGGCTGCTGACATCGACATCGACACCGTGGGCACCGAGGGCTGGGGAGAAGATGCAGAGCTGCAGCTGGATGAAGGTGGGTGGATCCAAGAGCTTTCCTTGGAAAAGTGTGGGCCTTTATCAGGGCTCTGACATTTCCCCCCTCCTTCCAGATGGTTTTGTGGATGCTGGAGAGGGCTTTGGAGAGGAAGGCCTGGGCAAAGGACAGGAAGAAGGAGGTGGATGGGAAGTGGAAGAAGATTTGGATCTTCCCCCTGAACTGGTAGGAAGCTCCTTGGTCGTTCCTTGGGAAGGCACTGACAGCTGGCGAGGGAGGTGGGGGAAGTGTTTTCTGGGCTTTCTTCAGGCTTGGTCCCCCACAGCTCTGATTTCATCTGGGTGCTGGAAACACCCCCCACTAATCCCTTCTCTGTGTGTTCCCCCCAGGATGTTCCTGCTGGCCCAGCAGGAGCAGCAGAGGATGGATTCTTTGTGCCTCCCACCAAGGGCACCAGCCCAGCTCAGGTAATGCCAAATCAGGGCTTGGATTGTGGGAACTTTGAGGGGTGGTGAGGGCAGGACCCAATTCCTCTTCCACGTGTTTCCCTTCCCTTCTCGTAGGTGTGGTGCAACAATTCCCAGCTTCCTGTTGACCACATCCTGGCAGGCTCCTTTGAGACAGCAATGAGAGTAAGTTTGGACTTTCCAGGGATAAACTGTGCCCTTTCTCCTTGAGTTTCTCTCCCTCATCCACCTGAAGCTTCATTTTTACACCCCTTTTCGGGCATCGTTTCGCGCCTCGTTTTGCCTGGGGTATGAAACCAAGCTGTGGGGAAGCCTCAGTGGTGCCTGTGCCAGCTTTCCCTCAGCCACATCCATCTGTTCTTTCCAGCTCCTCCACGACCAGGTGGGAGTGACCAACTTTGGGCCCTACAAGCAGCTGTTCCTTCAAACCTTTGCCCGGGGCCGCACGACCTACCAGGCCCTGCCGAGCCTGCCGGCCATGTATGGATTCCCACACCGCAACTGGTGAGCACTGGACAGCTCCTCTGGGCCCCCCTCCCTTGTGCCAGGGACCTGCCAGCTGCTGGACACTTGGGAGCCACAGGATGAGTTTTTTTCCAATAAAGCTTGCTTGGAAGGTGCTGTTGAAAAATCATGGGGTTGGTGAGGTTGGAAAAGATCTCCGAGTTCACCCAGTGCCCCATCCTTGCTTTGTCACCAGCACAGAGCACTCAGTGCCACGTCCTTGGGCACCTCCAGGGGTGGGGACTCCTCCACCTCCCTGGGCAGCCCCTGCCAAGGCCTGACCACCCTTTCCAGCAACAAATTCCTCCTCATGGCCAATCTGAGCCTCCCCTGGCACAGCTGGAGGCCGTTCCCTCTCCTCCTTTCCCTTGTTCCCTGGGAGCAGAGCCCGAATTCCCCCGGCTCCCCCCTCCTGTCAGGGAATTCCAGAGCCAGAAGGTCCCCCCTGAGCCTCCTTTTCTCCAGGCTGAGCCCCCCCAACTCCCTCAGGAGTTTCTCCAGCCCCTTCTCCTGCTGTTCCAACCCCATTCCCTTCTCTGGCCACGCCCCTCCAAGGTGGGGATGGGGCACAGGGTGGACTGGATGGGCTGGGAGGGCTTTTCCAACCTCAGTGATCCCGTGAAAACCGGGACAGATCTCCAGTCAGTGTGTCCCTGCTCGGCCCCGCTGTGTCCCCCAACCTCTGTGTGGTGTCCCCAACCTCTGTGTGGTGTCCCCCAGGAAAGAAGCCGGCCTGAAAAACGCCCTCCCCGCCGTGGGGCTGAAGCTCAACGACCTGATCCAGCGGCTGCAGCTCTGCTACCAACTCACCACCGCCGGCAAGTTCGAGGAGGCCGTGGAGAAGTTCCGCTCCATCCTGCTCAGCGTCCCCTTGCTGGTGGTGGACAACAAGCAGGAGATCGCTGAGGTGAGGGACAGACCCACCTCCCCTCCCCTCTGCGTGTCCACGGGGCAGGAGGCCACTCCTGACTCTGTCCCTCTTCCCGCAGGCCCAGCAGCTCATTGCCATTTGCCGGGAATACATCGTGGGGCTCTCCATGGAGATCGAGCGGAAGAAGCTGCCCAAGGACACCCTGGAGCAGCAGAAGAGGATCTGTGAGGTGCAGGATTCCTTCCCCTGGCGTGGCTGTGCCCTCACAGGAAAAAATAGGGATCAGGGATCTGGAATTCTCCCTTTTCCACCTTGAAATCAGGGATTATGTGTGAGGGAGGGATGGGTTCCTTGCAGCACTTCCAGCCATCCCCACTCCTGGCAGTGCTTCTATCCCTGCTTTCCCTCCTTCCCTGGCAGGGACGGGTCCCTTGCAGCACTTCCCAGCCATCCCCACTCCTGGCCAGTGGTTTGCAGCCCTGTTTTCCCTTCTCCCTCCTGCAGATGGCTGCCTACTTCACCCACTCCAACCTGCAGCCCGTGCACATGATCCTGGTGCTCCGAACCGCCCTCAACCTCTTCTTCAAACTCAAGAACTTCAAGACGGCAGCGACTTTCGCCCGCCGGCTGCTGGAGCTGGGCCCGAAGCCCGAGGTGGCCCAGCAGGTGAGTCTGGGAGGTGCTCAGGTGGATAAACCCCCTGGTGGGACAGACTTTGCTTTTGGGGGTCTCCTCGTGCCACCCCGGTCGACGCGGTCGCTTTTTTTTTTTTTTTTATTTTTGCAGACGCGCAAGATCCTGTCGGCGTGTGAGAAGAACCCCACGGACACCTGCCAGCTCAACTACGACATGCACAACCCCTTTGACATCTGTGCTGCCTCCTACAGACCCATCTACCGCGGGAAACCCGTGGAGAAGTGTCCTCTCAGCGGGGCCTGCTACAGCCCCGAGTTCCGCGGGCAGATCTGCCGCGTCACCACGGTGAGGGCGTCTCCGTCGTCCCGGGGTGTTTCCCTTGGGAATTCCCTTCCACAGCTCCCCCCCCCCCTTGGTCCTCCTGAACTGACTTGGTGGTAGAGAAGAGTTTGGGGGGCTGTGAGGTTTGAAATGCTGCCTGAATTCAGGGCTGACCTCGTGGTGAGGGGCTGTGTGTGCGTTCAGAGGTGATTTGGGGTCTGGAGCATCTCCATGATGGGGAGAGACTGGGGGAGCTGGGCCTGGTTAATCTGGAGAAGAGAAGAAGACTGAGAGGGGATCTCATCAATCCATACAAACATCTCAAATATCCCTACAACCTCCTCATCCGAGATGGGGTCTCATCCATCTGTGCAAACATCCCCAAGGGGTGTCAGGATGGTCCCAGGCTCTTCCCAGTGGTGCCCAGGATGAGGAGTGATGGCCCTAAACTAAACCACAAGCAGTTCCACATCAGCACAAGGAAAAACTTTCCATGGAGGGTGGGAGTGCCCTGGAACAGCTGCCCAGGGATGGTGTGGAGTCTCTGGAGTCATTCCAACCCCACCTCGACGTGTCCCCGTGTCACCTGCTCTGGGTGATCTCCAGAGGTCCCTTCCAACCCCAGCTGGGATTCTGTTCTCCACAGCAGCTGAGTCTCCAAGGGCTGCAGGCAGGGTTGGGATTTTGAGTTGCTTTTGACCGTGAATCATCTCCCTTTTGTCCCTCAGGTGACGGAGATCGGCAAGGACGTCATCGGGCTGCGCATCAGCCCTCTGCAGTTCCGCTAGGAATTCCTGTCCTGGGGGGAATGTGAGGGCAAATTCCACTCCCCCATCCCAACCTGTAGCCTCATCTCTTCCCCGTAGCCTTGCCTGTGCTGTCCCACTTGATGTCCCCACCCAGGAATGCTCTAGTGAGACTCTGCTTCCAAGTAGGAATTTTCCCTTGTTTCCAGACGGGCTGGTGTGAAGTTTTCCTGGACCGTTGTCCTGCAGCAAATCTTTTCCAGAGGGGAAAGGGCAGCTCTGCCGAGCCCTGGTTACCACAGAGCACTTTGGAAACTGCTGCAGAGGCCAACAGCTGCCTCTGACACCCTTTAGGTCCTGAAGGGATTTCTTGGAAGAGCCAGGAATGGCTCTGGGAATGTGGCACTGTCGGGAATCGTGGCAATGCAAAGCCCCTCCCAACTCCAGGGCAGTTCTCCCCTTGGAAATGGCACTGGCTCAACATTTGTGATAGTGGTGACTCTTTTGTTTTGTTGTCCTGGTAACATTTCTCAAACTTCAATCAGCTTCACACATGAATAAAGTAATTCAACCACCCCGATCTTCCAGTTCTGTAGCTCAGTTGGTTTTGCCGAGACACAGGAGGTGACACTGAATTTCCAACCTCGGGGATTTCTGGGATCCTGCTCCCCTCTGGGGCTGCTTTCCTGGTGCTGAAACAAAACCTTAACACTGAGATATTAAGCCTTTTATTTTATACATAAAAAGAAAGGGAGGAAAGAAGGGGATGTGCCCATCTTGGTGCTTCCAGTTGTGCAGGGGAATGTTCACAGTGGTGGGGGAGATGTGACCCTCCCCTTACGGGCCGGGGGCCTTCACCACCAGGCTGTTGTGACAGGCCACGGCAATGCCCCCGATGAGGTTGAGGAACTCCTGGAAGTCCAGCTGCCCGTCGCTGTTCAGGTCCAGCTTCTTCATCATCCTGTCCACCACCCCTGGATCCTTCTGGTTCTGCCAAGAGAGCTGGGCGTGGGCACCTCTGCCAACGAGGCTGGACCCCCCCCTCCCCACCCCACTCATGAGCTCGTGGAATCACAGGACCTCAAAGACCCTTCCACGAGACCAGGTGGCTCCAAACCTCACCCAAAACTGGGGGGGGGGGGGCAAACTGGATCCTCCGTGCGGCTGTGGCTCACCTTGGTGAAAGCGGCCAGCTCGGTGTTCATGAAAGCCAGGAATTCCCTCTTGGAAAGGGTGCAGTTGTCCCCCTCCCGGCCGGCGTAGCGCTGGAACACGGCCAGCAGGGACTCGATGCAGCGCTCCGTCTCCGTGGGCTGCGGGGAACGAGGGGGGAAAGGGGTTGGGATCACCCCCTGGATCTATCCAGGGCTCTTGGGGGGGGGGGGAAGGGAGGGACCTCCCCTCGCTCAACCTGTCCAGCCGCATTTTTTCCCTGCTGTTCGTATTTCTCTGGCACGGGAAGGACCCAGAGAACCGGGGAAGGGTTGGTGGAAAATCCCCCGGGGCGGGGGGAGGTGAAGTGTCAGCTCCCATCGGAGGAGTGGCCCTCCGATTGGACTGGGAAGAGCTTGTGGTGCAACCAGGCTTGGCCGAGGTTGGGTTTCTGGAGAGATAAGCCCGTTTTTTCCCTCCCCCCCCCGCCTCTTTTCCCTCCCCCTGCCCCGCCTGGGCTCGGGAGAAACTGAGTCAGGAGAGAAAAATTCCGGTTGCCTCCTCGATCTCCTTCCTCCCTCTGGGCAGGGCTGGGGCAGGGCCTGGCCTGGAGCTCCTCCCGTGGGGATGAATGAGGAGAGAGGGGGGAACGTGGGGCTTTTTCCCCTTCCAGAGGCTCCAGTTTGTGGGGAAGGGGCAGTGCAGGGAGAGCCGGGGGAATCCTGCCCCTCCCATCCCAACCTTGGCTCCTCTCTGCCACATCCTCAATTTTCAGTTAATTTGAGAGGTGCAACTTCCTTCCCCCCTCAGCTCTTGGTTCCTCTTCCCCCTTCCCAGTGCCGTGGGTGGGAGCAGAGCCCTGAGCCTGGTCATGGGCATGGAAAGAGTGGGAAAAGGTAGGAAAGGGGGGGGATAGACAACACCAATGCCACTCCTTAGCCCCCCACCCAAGCTTCAGAGACCCTCTGCCCTCTGCCTCTGCCCACTTTTCCCATGTCCAGCCCCCCTCCCCGGCGGGATTTGGAGCCTCAGCTCAGCCTTGGCACCATCCTCTCTCTCCGGAGCCAAGCCCGTCTTGCTTCAGCTCGAGGGGGGGGCTTTTTGCAGGAAAAGCTCCTCTTGCCGCCCCCCTCCCACCCCTGTGGAGCCAACTTTCTGTCCCAACACCTTCAGGGACCCTCTGCCCTCTGTCTCTGCCCCCCCTTTCCCATACCCAGACCCCTTCCCAGCAGATCCTCAGCTCAGCCTTGGCACCGTCCCCTCTCTCCGGAGCCAAACGCGTCTCGCTCCGGCTCTGGGGCCTCTCGCAGGAAAAGCTGCTCTGCTGTCCCGTTTTCCCACCCCTCTCCATCCCCATCCCGGGGTGGGGGTGGGGGGGTCCCGGCTGGCTCACCATGGCTGAGCTTGCGAGGAGGCTCCGGCGTGGGCACGGCTGGCTTGGATGTGGCAGATCCTCAGGCGGGTTTGGAGCCCTTGGGAGTCTCCAGGCGCAGCCACCGCCCCTTCCCAGCCCAGCTCTGTTGGGCAATCCCGGCTCTAACGGCAGATCCGGGCCTGCCCACGTACCCGCCTTCGCCTCAGGAATGTGCTGGGCCCCTCCTTAGGCTCTCCCGAGTTTTATTCTTCTTAACAGTTATTCACACTCGTGTTTTCTCCTCCTTATATCCATTTTCATCCCCCTCCCCCTCTCTCTCCGGGCCTTGGGGACATCCCTGATGTCTCACACCCTTTAGTCCTCGGGGCTGAGCTCCCCCCTGGGAATCCCAGGGAAATCTGTTCCCCCCAAAAGGGGAGCCAGGATGTGTTCTGGGATCTGGGACAGCTCTTTGGGAATTCCTGCAGAAGTTCTGCTGGGACAGCGCAAAGGGGAGCAGCAAGGAACTGTCCCCAAGACATTTTCCTTCCTTGCCCCGGTTTTCTGCCCCCAAATCCTTTTTTCCCCCCCCCCATATATAGGGGAAAAAAAGCTCTACCTCCTCCCACAACCCAGACTGAACTTGCCCAACCTGGCAGCTCCCTGGACTTCGCGCTTTTCACCCTCATTTTACAAACGCCCTCTCAACAAAAAAAAAAAAACCCGAGCAGAGAAGAAGTGGCATTTCCACCTCTGCAAGAGCAGATCCCGGAGGGATCCGCGGCTTCACTGGGAGCGGGGAGGAGGGAGGATTTGGGGCTGTTCCCAGCAGCTGCCAGGGGGTGGTTTTGCAGTCCAGGCTTTGGCCCCGGTTGCAGACACACCATCTGTGCCACCATATGTTTGTCACCCAGACGTGTGACCGTCACGTGGGCGGGAGGGGACATCGCCGGGAGCTCCAGGTTGGGGAAGAGACCCCTCGGGAATTCCTCTGGCACCGGTTTGGAGGAGGATGTGGGCCCGGGGAGGGTTTGGTGGGATTTCCAGCCTGCACGAGGCACCCGGGATCGGAAGGAAGGCGTGATGGGAACCGGGAAGGTGTGAGCCCACGCCGGGGGAACCTCCCAGATCCTTGAAAAGGATCCTTGAAAAGGCCCTCCCCGCCCTCCCAGATCCTTGAAAAGGATCCTTGAAAAGGCCCTTCCCGCCCTCCCAGATCCTTGAAAAGCAGCGGAAGGAGGAAGGCTGGCACCTCTCAGTGCAGTCATCAGCTGTTTATTCTGATTTTTCATGCAATACATCAATGTGAAGAAGAAGAAGAAAGAAGAAGTAGAACCCCCCACCCACCACCACCCTGCAGTGACCTCAGCATCACTCGGCTGCCACAAACCCTCCCTAAGGCTGGATCTGGGATTCTGCTCAGCTGGATTTGGGGTAATAGTCCCCAAAAGTGGGATTTTTCCTGGCTTGGAGGACTTTCAGGCCCCAAAATGAGGATGGTCGAGCTCCTGGGATTTTTTTTTTTTTTTTTGGTGTTGCAGAGCAGAGGCTGATGAGAACCAGCCACGGGGAAACGTTAGCACAGGGAGATGCAGAGTGGTCCCACCCCAGGGTAGAAGAGAGGACAGAGAGACCCAAGGACTCCAATTAGAGCAGAAAAAGTGACTAAATACTGTATTTTGGTGGAGAAGCATCAAGCAGGGAAGCAGATCTGGAGGTCACTTGAGGATTCCTTACGCGGAAAACCCCCAAACCCACCTGACCCCCTCTCGAGGCACCTCACCAACCCTTTTGAGCCGATCACTTCTGTGCCACCACATCCTGAACTGAAACAGGGCCGAAATGATCCTCAAAAGGACTGGGAGGAGCCCCTCCAGCTTCTCCCCCACCTTAAGACTCTTTGGCTTCACCCCCCGCGGGACGACTCGGTTCCTCCTGGGAGATCAGGAGGCCTCCCTGGCTCTGCTTGGTGCCAGGACGCGGCTCCTCCTCCCGTGGAAGTTGGGAATCCCCGGCTTGCCGGGGGCTCCTCTTGCAGGTCTCCTCCTGGCAGCTCTTTTCTGGTGGGAGAAGCTCGACGTCCTGGCGGACGCGGCCGGTCTCTTCTCTCCAGGGCGCGCGGGCACGGCTCTCGTCGGCGTCTCGCCGCTCTGACTCACGAGCTTCCCGCGGCTCCGGAGCCTGGAGCAGAGGTGGGCAGCTCTTGGCCTTCCTGTCCTCACGCTCCCTCACCTGGCAGCTGGATCCTGGCTCCCGTGGGACCTTCTCCCTGGCAGCTTTCGATCCATCTCCCTGGGGCTGATTCTTTGGCGTGTCGAGGATCTCCTTGGTCTTCGCCCTGCGAGGGTCGCCTTTCACAGCATCCGCCTCGCAGGCCTGGGGGGCTCCTTCCTTCACCCCTGCCCTAGCTCTCTCCCCACCCAGATCCCTCGTGTTTTCCTGGCAGCTGGAAGGTGGCACTTGGGGCTCCCCACTTTCTCTCTCGTCCCCCCGGGGTGGCGGCTCCGGGCGGCCGCTCCTGTCGCGGGGGACGGTCGGTGGTTTGGCGGACACGTAGCACTTCCTGACGCAGAGGGGCTGGCCCGGGTTGTCAGGCTGGTGACAGACAATCTCGTAGGTGGCGGCGCTGGCGTCACTCCCGTTCTGCAGCACGTGCACCAGGTAGGCGATGGTCTGGGGCTCGCAGGGCTGGGGGACCACCCGCACCTCCGGCCGCTCCGCGGGGTCGGCTGGGACGTAGCGGACCCTCAGGTCACTCACAGGCCCTTCCTCGCCTGGGGGGCAGAGGTCTCTGTTGTCCACCTCCACGGTTTGGTAGAGGTTTTCTCCTTCATCCACCTCCTCCTCTTCTTCGAGGACCTCCAGTATGGCCTCCTCACGGGTCTCTCTCCGGTCGATGATGACCCCTCTCTCCTCCCTGTCCCGTGTCTGGCGGCTGCGGCGCTCAGAGACCTCCAGCTCCAGGTCCCTTTGGCGATCGATCTTCCTCTTCACAACGGGCTCTTCCCTCTCTCTTCCACGGAGAATCCTTCTCTCTTCCTCTTCACGCTCACAGGGACGTTCTCTCCTTCTGAGCTCCTCACGGGGTTCCAGTTCACGGATCTCTCTGTGGATTTTTACATCAGCTTCTGCTTCTGCTACTCTGCTCTCCTGTGTCCTTTCATACCTCACTGACTCACGTTCTCTCCTTCCATCACCTTCCAGCTCCCGGGTCTCTCTTTGGTCGATGATGACCCCTCTCTCCTCTCTATCCCTTGTCTGGCGGATGCGGCGCTCAGCGATATCAAGCTCTCGTTGGCGATCGATCTTCCTCTCCAGAACAGGCTCTTCCCTCTCTCTTCTCTGGAGAATCCTCCTCTCTTCCTCCTCACGCTCACAGGGACGTTCTCTCCTTCTTATCTCCTCACGGGGCTCCAGTTCACGGATTTCTCTGTTCATTTTCACATCAGCTTCTGCTTCTGCTACTCTGCTCTCTCTTTTCCTTTCATACCTCACTGATTCACGTTCTCTCCTTCCATCACCTTCCAGCTCACAGGTCTCTCTCTGGTCGATGATGACCCCTCTCTCCTCCCTGTCCCGTGTCTGGCGGATGCGGCGCTCAGAGATATCCAGCTCCAGGTCTCTTTGGCGATCGATCTTCCTCTCCACAACGGGCTCTTCCCTCTCTCTTCCCTGGAGAATCCTCCTCTCTTCCGCTTCACGCTCACAGGGACGTTCCCTCCTTCTGAGCTCCTCCCTTGGCTCCAGTTCACGGATCTCTCTGTGGACCTTCACATCAGCTTCTGCTTCTGCCACCCGGGACTCTCTTGTCCTTTCATACCTCACTGACTCACGTTCCCTTCTTCCATCATCTTCCAGCTCCCGTGTCTCTCTTTGGTCAATGATGACCCCTCTCTCCTCCCTGTCCCGTGTCTGGCGGATGCGGCGCTCAGCGATATCAAGCTCTCTTTGGCGATCGATCTTCCTCTCCACAACGGGCTCTTCCCTCTCTCTTCTCTGGAGAATCCTCCTCTCTTCCTCCTCACGCTCACGGGGACGTTCCCTCCTTCTGAGCTCCTCACGGGGCTCCAATTCAAGGATTTCTCTGTTTATTTTCACGTCAGCCTCTGCTTCTGCTACTCTGCTCTCTCTTGTCCTTTCGTACCTCACTGACTCACGTTCTCTCCTTCCATCACCTTCCACCTCACGGGTCTCTCTCCGGTCAGTGATGACCCCTCTCTCCTCCCTGTCCCGTGTCTGGCGGACGCGGCGCTCAGCGATATCCAGCTCCAGCTCTCGTTGGCGATCGATCTTCCTCTCCACAACGGGCTCTTCCCTCTCTCTTCCCTGGAGAATCCTCTTCTCTTCCTCTTCACGCTCACAGGGACGTTCTCTCCTTCTTATCTCCTCACGGGGCTCCAATTCACGGATTTCTCTGTTTCTTTTCACATCAGCTTCTGTTTCTGCTTCTCTTCTCTCTCTTTTTCTTTCATACCTCACTGACTCACGTTCTCTCCTTCCATCACCTTCCAGCTCCCTTCTCTCTCTCCGGTCGATGATGACCCCTCTCTCCTCCCTGTCCCTTATCTGGCGGATGCGGCGCTCTGAGAGATCCAACTCCAGCTCTCGTTGGCGATCGATCTTCCTCTCCAGAACGGGCTCTTCCCTCTCTCTTCCCTGGAGAATCCTCCTCTCTTCCTCTTCACGCTCACAGGGACGTTCCCTCCTTCTGAGCTCCTCCCTTGGCTCCAGTTCACGGATCTCTCTGTGGACCTTCACATCAGCTTCTGCTTCTGCCACCCGGGACTCTCTTGTCCTTTCGTACCTCACTGACTCACGTTCTCTCCTTCCATCACCTTCCAGCTCCCGGATCTCTCTCTGGTCGATGATGACCCCTCTCTCCTCCCTGTCCCGTGTCTGGCGGATGCGGCGCTCTGAGAGATCCAGCTCCAGGTCTCTTTGGCAATCGATCTTCCTCTCCAGAACGGGCTCTTCCCTCTCTCTTCCCTGGAGAATCCTCCTCTCTTCCTCCTCACGCTCACAGGGACGTTCCCTCCTTCTTATCTCCTCACGGGGCTCCAGTTCACGGATTTCTCTGTTCATTTTCACATCAGCTTCTGCTGCTGCTACTCTGCTCTCTCTTGTCCTTTCATACCTCACTGACTCACGTTCTCTCCTTCCATCACCTTCCAGCTCCCGTGTCTCTCTCTGGTCAATGATGACCCCTCTCTCCTCCCTGTCCCGTGTCTGGCGGATGCGGCGCTCAGAGATATCCAGCTCCAGGTCTCTTTGGCGATCGATCTTCCTCTCCACAACGGGCTCTTCCCTCTCTCTTCTCTGGAGAATCCTCCTCTCTTCCTCTTCACGCTCACAGGGACGTTCCCTCCTTCTGAGCTCCTCCCTTGGCTCCAATTCACGGATCTCTCTGTGGACCTTCACATCAGCTTCTGCTTCTGCTTCTCTGCTCTCCCGTGTCCTTTCATACCTCACTGACTCACGTTCTCTCCTTCCATCACCTTCCAGCTCCCTTCTCTCTCTCCGGTCAGTGATGACCCCTCTCTCCTCCCTGTCCCGTGTCTGGCGGCTGCGGCGCTCAGAGACCTCCAGCTCCAGGTCCCTTTGGCGATTGATCTTCCTCTCCAGCACAGGCTCTTCCCTCTCTCTTCTCTGGAGAATCCTCCTCTCTTCCTCCTCACGCTCACAGGGACGTTCCCTCCTTCTTATCTCCTCCCTTGGCTCCAATTCACGGATCTCTCTGTGAATTTTCACATCAGCTTCTGCTTCTGCCACACGGGACTCTCTTGTCCTTTCATACCTCACTGACTCACGTTCCCTTCTTCCATCATCTTCCAGCTCCCGTGTCTCTCTTTGGTCAATGATGACCCCTCTCTCCTCCCTGTCCCGTGTCTGGCGGATGCGGCGCTCAGCGATATCAAGCTCTCTTTGGCGATCGATCTTCCTCTCCACAATGGGCTCTTCCCTCTCTCTTTCCCGGAGAATCCTCCTCTCTTCCTCCTCACGCTCACAGGGACGTTCTCTCCTTCTTATCTCCTCCCTTGGCTCCAGTTCACAGATGTCTCTGTGGATTTTCACATCAGCTTCTGCTTCTGCTACTCTGCTCTCTCTTTTTCTTTCATACCTCACTGACTCACGTTCTCTCCTTCCATCACCTTCCAGCTCCCGTGTCTCTCTCTGGTCAATGATGACCCCTCTCTCCTCCCTGTCCCGTGTCTGGCGGATGCGGCGCTCAGAGATATCCAGCTCCAGGTCTCTTTGGCGATCGATCTTCCTCTCCAGAATGGGCTCTTCCCTCTCTCTTTCCCGGAGAATCCTCCTCTCTTCCTCCTCACGCTCACAGGGACGTTCCCTCCTTCTGAGCTCCTCCCTTGGCTCCAATTCACGGATTTCTCTGTGGACCTTCACACCAGCTTCTGTTTCTGCTTCTCTGCTCTCCCGTGTCCTTTCATACCTCACTGACTCACGTTCCCTTCTTCCATCACCTTCCAGCTCCCGTGTCTCTCTCCGGTCAGTGATGACCCCTCTCTCCTCCTTGTCCCTTGTCTGGCGGATGTGGCGCTCAGAGATATCCAGCTCCAGCTCCCTTTGGTGATCGATCTTCCTCTCCAACACAGGCTCTTCCCTCTCTCTTCCACGGAGAATCCTCCTCTCTTCCTCCTCACGCTCACGGGGACGTTCTCTCCTTCTTATCTCCTCCCTTGGCTCCAATTCACGGATCTCTCTGTGAATTTTCACATCAGCTTCTGCTTCTGCTACTCTGCTCTCTCTTTTTCTTTCATACCTCACTGACTCACGTTCTCTCCTTCCATCACCTTCCAGCTCCCTTCTCTCTCTCCGGTCGATGATGACCCCTCTCTCCTCCCTGTCCCGTGTCTGGCGGATGCGGCGCTCAGCGATATCAAGCTCTCTTTGGCGATCGATCTTCCTCTCCAGAACGGGCTCTTCCCTCTCTCTTCCCCGGAGAATCCTCCTCTCTTCCTCCTCACGCTCACAGGGACGTTCTCTCCTTCTGAGCTCCTCACGGGGTTCCAGTTCACGGATCTCTCTGTGGATTTTTACATCAGCTTCTGCTTCTGCTACTCTGCTCTCCTGTGTCCTTTCATACCTCACTGACTCACGTTCTCTCCTTCCATCACCTTCCAGCTCCCGTGTCTCTCTTTGGTCGATGATGACCCCTCTCTCCTCTCTATCCCTTGTCTGGCGGCTGCGGCGCTCAGAGACCTCCAGCTCTCGTTGGCGATCGATCTTCCTCTCCAGAACAGGCTCTTCCCTCTCTCTTCTCTGGAGAATCCTCCTCTCTTCCTCCTCACGCTCACAGGGACGTTCCCTCCTTCTGAGCTCCTCCCTTGGCTCCAATTCACGGATTTCTCTGTGGACCTTCACATCAGCTTCTGTTTCTGCTTCTCTGCTCTCCTGTGTCCTTTCATACCTCACTGACTCACGTTCTCTCCTTCCATCACCTTCCAGCTCCCTTCTCTCTCTCCGGTCGATGATGACCCCTCTCTCCTCCCTGTCCCGTGTCTGGCGAATGCAGCGCTCAGAGACCTCCAGCTCCAGCTCCTCTTGGTGATCGACCCTCCTCTCCCTCAGTCTTCTTCTTCTTCTTGGGTCATCTTGTTCTTCCCACTCCTGTTCCTCACGGACCTCTCTTTCCCTCTCTGCGTATTCCACCTCTCGCTCCTGGTTTGCTCTTTGTTCACGGACACGTTCCTCTGGCTCAGCCCTATCACGGCCCCTGAGGTCAAGGTCTAGCGGTTCCTCGATGTATGACTGATGTGGGTGTCTCAAGTCCAGGCACTCCCCACGTTCCCGGTGGCTGCTCCGTTCCAGCGCCCTTTGTTCCAGCTCCTGTTGGTGGTNCTCCTTCCATCACCTTCCAGCTCCCTTCTCTCTCTCTGGTCGATGATGACCCCTCTCTCCTCCCTGTCCCGTGTCTGGCGGATGCGGCGCTCAGCGATATCCAGCTCTCGTTGGCGATCGATCTTCCTCTCCAGAATGGGCTCTTCCCTCTCTCTTCCCCGGAGAATCCTCCTCTCTTCCTCCTCACGCTCACAGGGACGTTCCCTCCTTCTGAGCTCCTCACGGGGCTCCAATTCACGGATTTCTCTGTGGACCTTCACATCAGCTTCTGCTTCTGCTTCTCTGGTCTCTCTTTTTCTTTCATACCTCACTGACTCACGTTCTCTCCTTCCATCACCTTCCAGCTCCCTTCTCTCTCTCTGGTTGATGATGACCCCTCTCTCCTCCCTGTCCCGTGTCTGGCGGATGCGGCGCTCAGCGATATCAAGCTCTCTTTGGCGATCGATCTTCCTCTCCAGAACGGGCTCTTCCCTCTCTCTTCCCCGGAGAATCCTCCTCTCTTCCTCTTCACGCTCACAGGGACGTTCCCTCCTTCTTATCTCCTCACAGGGCTCCAATTCACGGATCTCTCTGTGGATTTTCACATCAGCTTCTGCTTCTGCTACTCTGGTCTCTCTTTTTCTTTCATACCTCACTGACTCACGTTCTCTCCTTCCATCACCTTCCAGCTCCCGTGTCTCTCTCCGGTCAGTGATGACCCCTCTCTCCTCCCTATCCCTTATCTGGCGGATGCGACGCTCAGAGATATCGAGCTCCCTGTCCCGTTGGTGATCGATCCTTGTCTTTAGAACGGGCTCTTCCCTCTCTCTTCCACGGAGAATCCTCCTCTCTTCCTCCTCACGCTCACAGGGACGTTCTCTCCTTCTTATCTCCTCACGGGGCTCCAATTCACGGATCTCTCTGTGGATTTTTACATCAGCTTCTGCTTCTGCCACCCGGGACTCTCTTGTCCTTTCATACCTCACTGACTCACGTTCCCTTCTTCCATCACCTTCCAGCTCCCGTGTCTCTCTTTGGTCGATGATGACCCCTCTCTCTTCCCTGTCCCGTGTCTGGCGGATGCGGCGCTCAGAGACCTCCAGCTCCAGGTCCCTTTGACGATCGATCTTCCTCTCCAGCACAGGCTCTTCCCTCTCTCTTCTCTGGAGAATCCTCCTCTCTTCCTCCTCACGCTCACAGGGACGTTCCCTCCTTCTGAGCTCCTCACGGGGCTCCAATTCATGGATCTCTCTGTGGATTTTCACATCAGCTTCTGCTTCTGCTTCTCTGCTCTCCCGTGTCCTTTCATACCTCACTGACTCACGTTCTCTCCTTCCATCACCTTCCAGCTCCCTTCTCTCTCTCTGGTCGATGATGACCCCTCTCTCCTCCCTGTCCCGTGTCTGGCGGATGCGGCGCTCAGCGATATCAAGCTCTCTTTGGCGATCGATCTTCCTCTCCAGAACAGGCTCTTCCCTCTCTCTTCTCTGGAGAATCCTTCTCTCTTCCTCTTCACGCTCACAGGGACGTTCCCTCCTTCTGAGCTCCTCACGGGGCTCCAATTCACGGATTTCTCTGTTTATTTTCACATCAGCTTCTGCTTCTGCCACCCGGGACTCTCTTGTCCTTTCATACCTCACTGACTCACGTTCCCTTCTTCCATCACCTTCCAGCTCCCTTCTCTCTCTCTGGTCGATGATGACCCCTCTCTCCTCCCTGTCCCGTGTCTGGCGGCTGCGACGCTCAGAGATATCCAGCTCCAGCTCTCGTTGGCGATCGATCTTCCTCTCCAACACAGGCTCTTCCCTCTCTCTTCTCTGGAGAATCCTCCTCTCTTCCTCCTCATGCTCACAGGGACGTTCTCTCCTTCTTATCTCCTCCCTTGGCTCCAGTTCACGGATCTCTCTGTGGATTTTCACGTCAGCCTCTGCTTCTGCTACTCTGCTCTCCCGTGTCCTTTCATACCTCACTGACTCACGTTCTCTCCTTCCATCACCTTCCAGCTCACGGGTCTCTCTCTGGTCGATGATGACCCCTCTCTCCTCCCTGTCCCGTGTCTGGCGGATGCGGCGCTCTGAGACCTCCAGCTCCAGCTCCCTTTGGTGATCGATCTTCCTCTCCAGAACGGGCTCTTCCCTCTCTCTTCTCTGGAGAATCCTTCTCTCTTCCGCTTCACGCTCACAGGGACGTTCTCTCCTTCTGAGCTCCTCCCTTGGCTCCAGTTCACGGATTTCTCTGTGGATTTTCACATCAGCTTCTGCTTCTGCCACCCGGGACTCTCTTGTCCTTTCGTACCTCACTGACTCACGTTCCCTTCTTCCATCACCTTCCAGCTCCCGGGTCTCTCTCTGGTCAATGATGACCCCTCTCTCCTCCCTGTCCCTTGTCTGGCGGATGCGGCGCTCAGAGACCTCCAGCTCCATGTCCCTTTGGCGATCGATCTTCCTCTCCAGAACGGGCTCTTCCCTCTCTCTTTCCCGGAGAATCCTCCTCTCTTCCTCCTCACGCTCACAGGGACGTTCCCTCCTTCTGAGCTCCTCACGGGGCTCCAATTCACGGATTTCTCTGTTTCTTTTCACATCAGCTTCTGCTTCTGCTACTCTGGTCTCTCTTTTTCTTTCGTACCTCACTGACTCACGTTCTCTCCTTCCATCACCTTCCAGCTCCCGTCTCTCTCTCTGGTCAATGATAACCCCTCTCTCCTCCCTGTCCCTTATCTGGCGGCGGCGGCGCTCAGAGACCTCCACATCCAGCTCCTCTTGGCGATCAACCCTCCTCTCCCTCAGTCTTCTTCTTCTTCTTGGATCATCTTGTTCTTCCCACTCCTGTTCCTCACGGATCTCTCTTTCCCTCTCTGCGTATTCCGCCTCTCGCTCCTGGTTTGCTCTTTGTTCACGGACACGTTCCTCTGGCTCAGCCCTATCACGGCCCCTGAGGTCAAGGTCTAGCGGTTCCTCGATGTATGACTGATGTGGGTGTCTCAAGTCCAGGCACTCCCCACGTTCCCGGTGGCTGCTCCGTTCCAGCGCCCTTTGTTCCAGCTCCTGTTGGTGGT